TATCTACATTCCCGTCTTTTATGTGGCACGTGTTCATCTCGTGGGACAGAAGCTTGAAAACTCAGCATGATTGATTACGACTATGTTAATCAAAGTCAAAACCCACATAAAACGTGAACAATGGGTGACTTTACTTTCCTCAGAAGAATGCCATGACATTACATACTCTGAAGGAAGGAGAGAAACCTGCATGTGTCATCTCTAGTCTCCCCTGCTCACTCTGTTCAGGACTGAACTTGTAACCTCTTTGACTCTGGAGCCCTCTTTCCTTGTAGCATAGTACTTGCTAACCTGTCTCCTACAGGGTTGAATAATGCTCCCTTTGCCTTTACAATGATCTCCACCTAGCCCAGAATAATTTCCAACCTCCAGTCTTCTAAAGAACAGTATCTTTTACTAGCAGCTATGGGACAGGGCTTAGAGTGCTATTAAAAACTGTAGAATTAGCATTCCCACAATATACAAGAGGTTGGTAAGATTTATTAGAGCTCAGCATCCAACAGAATTTTTTTTCTATCAAGGTTCATTCAAATGCAAAAGCAGATTTTGAGGTCATCATACTTGTACTCCTTCACTGCAGGTATTCGAGCCCTTGCACTTTCCCGGTGTGCAAGTACCTACCAAAAGTTAATTTGCAGCTTAATGCTCAAGTATTCAAGAAAGGCAGATTTCAAACTATATATGTGACTCTCAGCATTCAAGGTCATATTATATCATTGTTCCCATTCAGTCAGAGAGCAGAAATTATGCCACCTGACTTAATTTGCAATCATATTCACAACTCTCTTTACGATCAACCTGGAGGCCTTGATTTATTTGCTGAAGAAATTTGCCCATAATTTCCAAGAGCGAATTACATTTCAGAATTTTCTAGTCTGCTGCCCTATGCACTCTAACAACAGATCAAAAAAATGAAATGTATCAAATACAGTATATTCATTTTACATTACTGGGTATGTGAAGGACCCTGTAGAGTAACTGTGCAAGTTTCTTCCCACACCAAACCGAAGGCAAGACATGTGCTTACTGGCTCTTGTGTATAGCTAGATATGGCTTCTTTTCCTCTTTTGTAAAAGGAATTTCATATGCTGGAGACTCTTTGTACATATTTGTAATGACTTTATTAAAAAAAAATCAATTGTTCACTGGGAAAAAAGGTCTTTTTATTTCCTTTCAAAAATAGAGATAACTGTCTCTGAGTTCTTTTCCCAACTATGCTCCTACTCCCACTGAAATTGATGGAAGTTTTAGAACTGACTTCCAACAGAGCAGGAGCCAGCCCTGTGTTACCTTCTGAAAGGTTAAAATACCACTTCTAGGAAAATGACTTTTCTGCCCCATGGACTTCACCAAAATTAACATAAAAAGGAGTGGCTCAAAGAACAGCTGATTTGTTTGGTGGCTTATGTGTGAAATGAGTTGGCCTCTGTTTTTCAAGTGTAACCAGTATCCACAGTATAAAAGCACCACTATATTGGGTTCTAAACAATCGTAAGAGGGAGAATGAGCTAGTCTCTCACGCTAGACGTGGCCCTTCCACATCAGAGCTGAGGTTCATTGGCAGGTATCAGCATGAAGAAAGTTATGTTGCTGCTGAATGTGCAGTACCTGTTCTTGCAGCAAAATGGAGGCCTTCAGTCTCCACGAGTGTCAAACCAACTCCTTCATGTGTTTCCAGAACTGAGAGACATTGGGAGCCTACAACGACTTGCTCACTCAGAGCTTCCTGATTACACATGTGGTCTAACACACTGAAGCTGGACATAGGAGAACCATGCACATGTATCTGAATCCAGATCGATAGCAGAGAGGGAAAATAAGCTTCAGACTGTGGTGACACAAAAACAGAAAAATTAGCTCATCTCTCACAACAAATTAAGAATGTGGTGGCAGGTGTTCAATTCTACAGAAAGCTTCAACTTAGAGATTTTCCCCACTGAGTAGCAGTATCAAGCCCAGCATTAAGTTTTTCTGGAGTGTTTTGGCAGAATTGGAGAGTTTTAATTCTACAGGTTGAACCTCTGTGGTCTGGGACTCTCTAGTCTGGCAGCTTCCATGGTCTGGCAGGGCCATGGATGTCATTGCAGTATAGAACCCCCATGGCAGATGTTGCCAGCGGCTCGCAGTGGAACTGACTGGCAGGGCCAGCAGGGTGGCAGAGCCCATAGGATATCACAGCCTGTAGCTGGTGGGGGGCCGGCAGGGCTGCTGGGGCCATGGGAGCACATGGGGCAACAGAACCCTGGCACCTGGGCTGCAGCAGCTCGCAGGGCTGTGAGGCTGGGGGAAGAGCCCAGGTGGCTAGAGAGAAGAACCCTGCCTTCCCAAATCTCCCCTGATCCTGCAAATTCCCCTGTCCTGTACCAGTCAGGTCCCGAGGGTGCTGGAGCAGGGAGGTTCAACCTGTAGCAATTTACTATTAAGATACCAATTCTTTTTCTCATGTTCCACCCAGAAGATAATAGTGGGATGGTGAGAGGGGGGCGAAAAAAAAAAAGATCAACATCAACAGGGAAATCTTGCATCTATTGATGGCAGGGGGAGGAGACACTAGATAAACAAACAGAGCTTATTTACATTCAGAATGTCAAATACCATCAGTAGTTTTAATCTTTCTCCTACTATCACTCTGATGCACTTCATCATTCCCCACAACACTGATTTTTGCAATATCAATGAAAGGCAGGCAAAGAAAGAGCCACTCCTAACTAGAACTAAGTTTTCAGAGCAGCCATGAGACTCTAGGAAGCAAAAACTATACATTAAGCTATTCCTTTCACTTAGTGGTATTACACACAGAATTCAAGATGAACCCCTCCATACTACATGCACCTCTGCTTTCTTGTCAGCTGTTTGCCTTTCCATCCAGATAAAAGTTCACCCAAGCTATGATACACATACCAAAAATTTGATGACAATAGGAAATCTCTCCTATTTCTAACAGAATCTAAGGCTCTTCCTTTGGAAGCAAGTAGAGGATTGACTGGCTTAGTTCATGCTTTTCTACAGCAGCTTATAGCAAAGGCACCTCACCTCATTTTGTTGGGCTCCTCTCCCTTCATCCCATCTCTCTCAATTCAAGATTGATTCATATGCTGCCTCCATCATTTCTTCCCTGCTTAGCTATTTTCTTTTTCAAAGAAAAGTTGAGGCAAAACTCAATTGCCATTAGCTCTTCTTTGCTTTAATTTTTCCCCCAAGGAGGCTCTACGGTAGGAGGGGAGGAAAGTAACCAATACCTACATGCAGCCCTATTTCCCAGAGGTATAGTTCTTCCTGCTTGATTATCCAGTCAAGGGGGATTGTAACCTTACAGCCATTTCCATAGTAATGAGCATGGAAGATGTCATGATTGCTTTAATGAAGCAGTTTCCCCTGGTGTTCAGCAAAAAGTAAACTGTCTAGTGAAAGAGAAATCTCCAGCTCAAGATACAGTGAACAAACATCAAATCCATTTGCATCCTTGTGTGCCAGTGTAAGATGCTCTACAAACACCCTGATAGTAAAATACAGACTTGTGCTACTCCAGCATACAGGATGTTTCTGTGCCTATTAAAGGTACACGCTGCTGTTCTGGAAAAGCTTTGTCTGAAGTGAGCCATTTGCTTGTTTTGGTGAGATGGGGTTTTATCAATAGAGAATGTTTGTTCCAGAATACCCTCGAAGTTGGAACCTGACTGCAGGGTCTTCATAACAAACAGCCCTTCAAGTTTGTTTCACACAGCTCTCATAAAAGGAGGGGACCTCCAATTGCTTCCATTAAAGGAGTTGTCACCATGATAGGAGATCTAGAAATATTGCCTCTTTGCAGCCAGGCTGGCCAGATCCAGGTACATACCCTAGATCTAGGAGAAATCTTAACATGAGCTAATGGATCATCTTTGGACATCTCAAAAGAATCCAAATTCTTT